TTAATTTCTTTAGTTGCGATGAGCATTTTTTTTACTTATGGAAACAAGAGAACTAGACCTTTACAATGTTAATATGCTGATGCTTTTTTTTAAAAAAAATGTTTTATTGTGGGAATAAACCACAGTAAAGTCAGTTTATGCATTTAGGCAAGACTGGGAAAATCAGCTAATTATTGCATTTAATTTGATGTAGTTATTAAAAGTTAGGTCCTAGAAATGACTGAAAATTAGGATTAACAAAACACATAATTTCATTTTCTCTGTTTAGAACCAGAGCATTGAAAGCTGCTCTGTATTAATTCAGACCAGGAGAATCATAGAATCATTGAATTACAGAATCATAGAATCACTGAATTATAGGATCATAGGATCATAGAGTTGGAAGAGACCTTGTGGGCCATCCAGTCCAACCCCTTGCCAAGAAGCAGGAAAATTGCATTCAAACCACCCTCGATAGATGGTCATCCAGCCTCTGTTTAAAAGCCTTCAAAGAAGGAGCCTCCACCACACTCCAGGGCAGAGAGTTCTACTGCTGAACAGTAGGCATGGGCAATCCATGGTTCTAAATGGTTCTAAAGTACTTACAAAATTGGGGGGTGCCGGTGCTTTGCTTCTATAATGTTGTGAAAGTTCTGGTGGTGAAAATTTTAGAACTCTAACAAAACTTTCAAAATTTTGTTATAAATGGCAGTTTCTAATTGGTTCACCAATAATGAAATAACGAAATTTTGAAAGTTTTGTTAGAGTTCTGAAATTTTCACAACCCAAACTTTAGCAACATTATAGAAGCAAAGCACCAGTGCCCTCTAGTTTTGTAAGTACTTTAGAACCATTTAGAACCATGGATTGCCCATGTCTACAGAACAGCCCTCACACTTAGGAAGTTCTTCCTAATGTTCAGGTTGAATCTCCTTTCTTGTAGTTTGAAGCCATTGTTCCGCTTCCTAGTCTCCAGGGCAGCAGAAAACAAACTTGCTTCCTCCTCCCTATGACTTCCTTTCACATATTTATACACAGCTATCATGTCTCCTCTCAGTCTTCTCTTCTGCAGGTTAAACATGCCCAGCTCTTTAAGCTGCTCCTCATAGGGCTTGTTCTCCAGACCCTCGATCATTTCAGTCACCCTTCTCTGAATCCATTCCAGCTTGTCAACATTTCTTTTCAATTCTGGTGCCAAGAATTGGACACAGTACTGCAGACGTGGTCTGATCAAGGCAGAATAGAGGGATAGCATGACTTTCCTGGATCTGGACACTATAATCCATTCATACAGACCAAAATCCCATTGGCTTTTTAAGCTGCCGCATCACATTGTTGGTTTATGTTAACTTGTTGTCCATGAGGACTCCAAGATCTTTTCCACACATACTGCTGTCGAGCCAGGAGTCCCCCATTCTGTATCTTTGCATTTCATTTTTTCTGCCTAAGTGGAGTATCTTGCATTTATTTATTTATTTACCACATTGATATACCGCCTTTCTCAGCCCAGAGGCGACTCATGCTGAACTAATTTTGTTAGTTTTGGCCCATTTCTCTAACCTGTTAAGATCGTTTTGAATTCTGCTCCTGTCATTGAGATAAAAATGGGAAATTATGGAAGGATAGGGGTCCGCATTAGCCACTCCAGGGAAACTTGGAGGACCTCATGCCTTCTGCATCCACCCTCCCGGGGGGGGGGGGGGGGGAGGTGTGATGCCTCCAGATACTCCAGGGCAGGGCTCCTTAAACCTTTTCCACTTGTGACCCTTTTCAACCCAATACATTTTTCATGACTACAGGTATATAAACATATCTGAAATAGATGTAAACTCAAACATTTACTGATAATAAATCAGCATTTGCAAAGCTTGCTAAACAGGCTGATTTTCCTATTTAATGAAATATGGCTGAAGCATCTTCTGCAGAGTGCACTGTAAACACTGCATATTGATGCTAACATATTTGTGTACATTGGTGCATTCAGTAATGTTTGACTGTTGCCAAATTTTTCATGATCTCAACATTTAGCTAAGGGGTCCCCATTTCAGGTCAGGACCTACAATTTAAGAAACAGTTCTCATGGGGTCTGGAGGCATTTTCATCATGTTTTATGACCTTCCTATACCATTACAGGATATAGGAATAAATGCTAGAATATTTTATTTTGAATTGATAATGCATGAATAGACATGTTATAGATGCCAGAATCCAACTGTTAGAGCCAAATAAAATAAACTCACTGAGATAATGGAAAGATGGTAAATCAACATTTATATAAGTTCCATTGATCCACACATCTTCTCTAATTGAAGCAAATAATTAGACTCCGGGATTTAATTTCCATTTGTTTATCAAATTATCTTTTTTATGTCTACAATAAATGAAATACAAAGACTACTATTCAAGCTTTCTGATCCCTACAAATCACAGAAGCATCTCTTGTTAGTTTCTAGCCGTGGTGGTATGGACTTGGAGACAGCGCAGGTTCTTCAGCATCCCGCTGAATACAAATAAGGTCACCACTAACCTCTGCAATATTTGCTCTAAAGAAAGAGCTATTAATGCTCTCAGGATGCGAAGAGGTGATGGGTTAGAGAAGCACAGTTCCTCACCCAATGAAAATGTTTCAGTGAAAAGCTCATCAGCAGAATAATCTGCAGAGACAGGAACAATTGCTCTACTCTAAGTAAAGGAAAGCGCAAGTGCTCTAGCAAGTGCCCAAAACACTCCTCGTGTTAGCACCAGGACCCTTGAGCACAATCTCTGACTTCTTTCTGCAATGCAGAATAGCAATTAATCAGGGACTATTAATCATGTTCTATAAGGAAAAAATGTGCCAGTTCCCTAGTGCTGTTTGCATGTTTCCTTCCCTCTCCTGGATGTGTTACCATCCTGTGGGAGGCTTCTCTCATGTCCCCACATGAGAAGCTGGAACTGACATATGGGAGCTCACCCTGCTCCCTGGATTCGAACCACCAACCTTTCGGTCAGCAGTCCTGCCTGCACTAGGGTTTAACCCATTGAGCCACCGCGGGCTCCGTTACGCAGATGGCAATGCCTTTTTCTTTTCTTGATTTACATAGAAACTGGACCACTCTCGCAACCACCATGTCAGACTACACAGAGAAGCCATTGAAATCCACATGCATGTGGACAATTTCAACAGAAGGGAAGAAAGCATGAAAATGAACAAAATCTGGGTACCAGTATTAAAAAAACTCTAAAATTACAACAGCAAAACAGCAGAGAGGAAACAATCAGGGACATCTAATCACCTCTCAACAAAAGATTGCCCCAGGCACTGCCAGACCATCAAATGCTAATCAAGGTGGTCAGTTGAAACATTCACAACTAGCTCCAACAGATAAGAGTTCTTTGTCCCACCCTGGTCTTTCCACAGATATATAAACCCATTTTCCTAGTTTCAACAGACCTCACTACCTCTGAGGATGCTTGCCATAGATGCAGGTGAAATGTCAGGAGAGAATGCCTCTAGAACATGGCCATATAGCCCAAAAAAACCTACAACAACCCAGTGATTCCGGCCATGAAAGCCTTCGACAATACATTAATCAAGGAAACATCACACAGCATGTACTATAAGGAAAAAATGTGCCAGTTCCTTAGTGCTGTTTGCCAGTGTATGCATGTTTCCTTCCCTCTCCCGGATGTGTTACCATCCTGTGGGAGGCTTCTCTCATGTCCCCACATGAGAAGCTGGAACTGACAGATGGGAGCTCACCCCGCTCCCCAGATTCGAACCACCGACCTTTCGGTCAGCAGTCCTGCCTGCACAAGGGTTTAACCCATTGAGCCACCGTGGGCTCCATTACATAGATGGCAATGCCTTTTTCTTTTCTTGATTTACATAGAAACTGCAGATCACACAAGGAAATAATGCGGTGAATTCTCATTTCATATGATGTAGACATTTTAAGGTTTGTGCAATTTCATGTGATTTACAAGGATGAAACACATGAAGGAATTTTATGTGATCAAAACACATAAAGGAAGACATTCTGCCTTATTCAGAGAGAATGAGAGAGAAGAAAGATCCTTACAATGGTGACAAAAAGGACAACAGCCTTTCTTCTCCTAATGATGCTTCTGTTCCACTCAAACATCTTAACTCTTATAAGTGGAACAGGCATGCTACTGATGAAAAAACTTAATTCTGAAAACATATTACATTCTCATTAATATCCAGACACATATTAAAGACATTTATCTCTCTCACGGCTTATTTCTCCGTTTCTACTCTTCAGAACATCTCGTGTGTAATGTGACATTCAAAATTCCTGGTAGTGGCAGAGTTTAGGATATTAAAGGTTCATGCAAAAATGTGCCTTGAATCACAAAATTTTTGTATTTTCTCTGACAAGGAATGCATAAGTAAATCTAACAAACAAGAGCAAAAACTCTGTGCAAAGTTTTCTGTAATACTTGATATTTCAAGTAATCAATACATCCTCGAGTTACAAACATCTAACTTACCAAATACTCAAAGTTAAGAATAGAAATGAGACATCAGAAAGTGAGAGAAATCTACCCCTCGGAAGGAAATTCACTCTTAGAAGAGTTATCATGGGGGGGGGGGGGGGTCTCAACTGAAGCTTTCTCACCAAACCTTGTTTCCACAACAAACCATTTTTTTTCAAAATCCAATTATGACAGGGACAAAAAGTGTGGTGAAGTCTTCTGAACAGGGGCACAGACAGCAAAACAAACACCACAGGAGTGTTAAAATGTTCCAACTTACATACAAATTCAACTTAAGAAAAACCTACAGAACCCATCTTGTTCATAACTTGAGGATTGCCTGTATATACAACTGATTCCAGTGGCTTTGGCTTTAAAGCAAAAATAAGCTCCGAAACCTCCATAACCAATGTGTTAGAAGAAAAGAAAACAAACCTCTTATCTAAATTGGTTTGAGCTCTCAGTGCTTTGAGAAACACATACATACAGAGCTCTCACTGAGACATTCGTGCACAAAAGGGGATGAAAGGCAATACAATTACCTTTCATCTTGATGCTGAACTCTCCCATTAGATTTTCCAGCTCTCCTTCAATAGTACACATGTTCTGTGTGGAAAAACAGAAAACGTATTATCAGATTAACCATTCAAATTTAAATTATAAAAGTTCTTTAAAACTAACCATAACACACACATTCCTTATTTATGATTAGGTGTAATTTAAGAGACAACTGGAGACTTCTCTCTTCCAGTTTTTAACTATGAACTTTAAATTGTTCCATGTATTTTAATATTTTACAGAAATATGTTTTAATATATGCATTTTACCTAACATTTTTATGATGAGGTGTCTTAACTATGTTGTGCCCCCCTTGAGCCATGAGAAGAGGCAGGTAAGAATAATAGTTATTATTACTATTAATATTATTATTATTAATATTATTATTATATCTGAAGCAGTCAAAACAGAGGCTTACAAGGATGTCCTAAACCAATGGTTCCCAATCTTTAGTCTTTCAGGTATTTGGGCCTTCAACTCCCAGAAATCCTGGCCAGTATGACCAATTGTCAGGAATTCTGGGATCTAAAGACCAAAACACCTGAAAGAACAAATGTTGGGAACCACTGCATAAAGCAGAGTTTTCCAAACAATGTGTCACAATACAGTGTGTCTGTTGCAATGTGTACATGTGTCACATGAACACAACAAGAAACCTCTGAGTCTATGTGAAATAAGTAATATCAAGTTACATGCATTTTACACAACAACAGTGCTGATTAGCATTAGGTAAAGGTAAAGGTTTCCTCTGACATTAAGTCTACTCATGTCTGAATCTGGGGGATGGTGCTCATCTCCATTTCTAAGCCAAAGAGTCGGCACTGTCCGTAGGTAACTCCAAAGTCATGTGGCTGGCATGACTGCATGGAGCACTGTTACCTTCCCGCTGAAGTGGGAAGGTACCTATTGATCTACTTACATTTGCATGTTTTCGAACTGCACCGTTGGCAAAAGTTGGGCCTAATAGCGGGAGCTCACCCCTCGCCAACCTTTCGGTTAGCAAGTTCAGCAGCTCAATGGTTTAACCCCCTGCACCACCAGGGGGCCCTTGACTAAAATTAGTAAGCTTCATATAAGTCTTAGTAACATATTGTTACTCAAGAAGGACAAAACCCTTGGAGAGATATATTATTATCTTCCAAATCATACATTTTAAAATATATAAATGAAAGGTTTTCATGAGCCATATTGTGTCCCCATAGATTTCATCACTACAATTTATGTATGTGTCAGTATATCTTATAAGATGCTGCTTTGACTTCCAGTTTGCTAGTAATACTGAATTACTGTGTCACAAAATGATGCATGTCTAAAACGTGTGTCACCAACATGAAATGTTTGGAAGGTTCTAGCCTAGAGGATGGAGAAAGAAGTTCTCCATCTCCCAGTCAAGTAAATGAAAGCAGATGAAGTTGAGAATGTGCCTCTGGAAACTGCCAATTCCTTTCTCCTAGAGGAAAGTGGTATTAAGCATCCTAGATTTTGCCCCAATATCCAGAGAGATAACCTGATACCTTCATTCATCATCGCCTGCTGGATCAAGACTCAATCTTAAAATTTTCTCAGAATATCTAGAAAGCTATGATTTGTTGTAGATTTCTAGCAATTGATCATTTGCAAACATATCTTCCACATATGTGTGTTTTAGGACCATTCCTCCCAAAACTGAAAGAAAAAAAGTCATTAGGCTAGAGCAGTTATTCACAGCTTCTGCAATATTTGGGGCAGGGGGCCAAGTTGAGCACTTTGATGTCCAAAAATCTTTTCAAAAAGGAAACAAGAGGGGTGTCAAGGGGGCACGTTTTGGGCCCTGTGGAGACCGGAGGTTGCACATGAATAATCTGTGCCTTAAGGCACCTTTAAAAGTTCTCCACCTAGATTTATGCTAATATTGACTTTAACCTTGCCTATTATTAACTTGATTCTCTCCAGTTAAGAGGCCATTCCCTCTGGCTCCTCAAACCTTTGAATTATTAAATTTTAAAGTGCTCCTCCTACAACCGATGTTCACCAATACACAAATAAGCACTAAGAGAATGCTGCTCTCAGAATTAAAAGCTGGCAATAGGAAATTCACACCATAAGCCTCTGCGTTGTCCACAAGAATGCATAGCGTAGCACACTGATAAGGAGTAGAAATCGATTCTGTATTTTGGACATTCCATACTCTGCTTTTCACAATCAATTTTATTGACCTTCTGTTAATGATCCCATATGCTAAGTGGTAAATTCCTCAGACAAAACTAAATCTTTATGTACCTCTGTGTATTCTTTGTAGCTTTTGTTGATTTCAGACAAACTCTCCCGAGCTGCCTTGCTCACAGGGGACAACCCAAATGCTTGCTTCATTTTGCTCGCACCATCACGGAGCCGTCTTTGGATACAATATGCTTCAAAGAGCTCATCAACCTGATAGGAACAACAATGACTCATTAAGGTTTCAAAAAATCAAAAGCCAACGAAATTAAATTTAAAACAGGGCAACTGAGAAGCTCTTGGTATTTTTCCTTAGAAAAATCTATGAGTAAACATCCTCAGATTTGATGCCACATCTTTAGATAATAATTCAGTGTGAAAACAGCACTTTCAGTTTTGGGATGAGAACAAAGCAATTGTCAGGAATTTGTACCTCATCTTTGTAGGCTTTTAGACATCACAACTTCAGATTTTGTGCAAAGCTTCCTTTTCTCATTAGGTTTTCTTTAAAAAACCAAATGTCTCTAAATAAAGGATTCTATCTTGTTAGCTTTACCACCTTCAGTTAATTCCCAGTATAAAATTAAATATGGCAGTACCATAGTTTTGAATTAAAAAGGTTACTTCAGAGGAAAGAAAGGAGAATAATTAGGCTTCTTCATCAGATGGAATAAAGCCATCTGTCAATACCTAGTAATATTAACAATCATTACCATGAAATATGATCCATGTACAATATCCATGCTTAAAGCAGCTGTTAGATACACTTGGCAAAGGCTTCAAATTAAAGCTGAAATCTCTTTTTTACTGATACATACAGCATAATCCTTTTCATGTGGAGTCCATCTGCACTACACAGTTATAGCAGTTTGACACTACTCTGTCATGCTTATATATGGGAGAAAGGTAGCCACAAGACATAGCAATTATGTATCTCACATAATAGTTATGTAATAGTTATGTACATTGTAAGCCTGAGGGCAAATTAACATTTTGTAGGCACCTCTGAGTGCCTTTGTAGTTGAGGAGGGATTAAAAGTTCTGTAAACAATAAAAAATATTCAGTGGAATCCTGGAGTTTTCTGCTTGGTTGGGATCTGTAATTCAGAGCTAGGGAGTGCTAGTCCAGTTTCCTGAATTACAGTTCCTGGCTTTCTCAAAATCTTACTAAGCTACAAATCCAAGCGTTCCCCATGATGAAATCATGGAGGTTAAAGTGGAATCCCCGGTGGCGCAATAAGTTAAACCCTTGTGCCAACAGGACTGCTGACTGATAGGTCAGCGGTTCAAATCCAGGGAGAGCGGGTTGAGCTCTGTCTCTCACCTACAGCTCCCCGTGGGGGGACATGAGAAGCCTCCTGGAAGGATAATAATAATAATAATAATAATAATAATAATAATAATAGCTTTATTTTTGTATCCCGCCACCATCTCCCTGAAGGAACTTGGGACAGCTTACATGGAACAAGCCCAGTCAAACATAGAATTAAGTAAAATTTATAAGAACAACATCATAAAGCAGCATAAAATAATGTCATCAATCAACCTATAGACTGATATAGTAATCAAATACTAAACTTGTGAAGGCAGGGGCTTGTGTAATAAAATTGGGGTTGCAAGGACAGGGCAGATGGAAAAAGTGCAGGAGCCAGGTCATAGTTAGGGCTAAGATGGTAAAACATCAAACATCTGGGCATCCCCTGGGCAACGTCCTTACAGATGGCCAATTTTCTCATACTAGAAGCGAAGCGACAGTTTTTCAAGTCACTCCTGACATGAAAAAAAAAAGATATTAACAGGCTATATACAAATATACTCTTAAGAGCTATGGATGCTGTGTGCCCCAACTTATCATGAATAGAAGCATTTTCATCTAGCAAAATTTTATCATTAAGGGATAAGCCATTATGACTTCTCACTATAGGCTTCAATTAACAGCAGATATTGCTAAGGCAGAATCCAGCTCAGCAGGGAAGAATATTTTACTAGGCATCCAAACAAGTACTAGTGCGCAGGACTTTGAAGGGCCAGAATGTGGTGACAATTAGTCTCTGTTGGTCTAGCTATGCATGAGTAGTAACAACAACAATACTCTAAACCACAGTATTATGAATACTGCCATGTATTTTTTTCAAAGAACTACACCACCAAGAGCTATCATAAATAGTTGCCGTTTGTTGCTTACTTCTGTTAATAAGTAATAGCAGTACTTATTAAAAGCCTCCTTCTTTTAAACAGATGCTGGATGACCATCTGTCGGGGGTGCTTTGAATGTGATTTTCCGGCTTCTTAGCAGGGGGTTGGACTGGATGGCCCATGAGGTCTACTCCAACTCTATGATTCTAAGGGTATACCATTGTCTTTCTGCATGAGTAGGACCCATCTGCTAGATCACAGAGCTCTGATAGTTTTGCTGCTTTCCATGCAAATGTTTTTAGCAGTTGTTGCTTACATTTTGGTTCTTCTAAAATCTGGTTCACATCAAGTTCCCTTTACTTGTTACTATGGGTTACAGAACAAAAAGTTAATCTACTCAAGGGTTTGGGTATAGTTCTCTCTGTAGCAATTCATTCTTGCTTTAAAACACTAAAATCACTTTGTTCTGAGTGGGAGGGACTTGAACAAAAAGTACCCTGCTGCATGAGATTTTTTCTGGCAGCGAACATGTTTTTATGGAATCTGTTCACTTGATGAATATTTGATATGTGTATATAGGAATAACAAAGAAGCAAGCTGAATGCTGTACCACAGAAATGCTATAGGAGAGTCGGGCTTCCATAATCAAAATACCTGGGTTGGCATCCTGATAGGCAGCTATGTTTGGTATTCAGAATTATGTTCATGGGATTACCATGACCATGAATGCACTCTGATTTCACCTTAAAATCCAGCATAGCATATTGGGGTGAAGGAGTTCTGTTGAACTGATAAGATGGGCATTGAAGGAGTAGCCATTTTTTTTGGAGTGGTCATGGGGAGCCCTCTCAGCCTGGTCATAGCAAATTTCTACATGGAACACTTTGACAAACAAGCCCTGGAAACAGCAACAAAAAAGCCAACTACATGTGATTGACACTGCCACCATTTGGAGCCATGGAGTAGAATAATTAAACAAGTTCCTGGACCACCTCAACAGCATCCACCCAAATATGAAAATGAAGGAAAACTGCCATTTATAGATGTCCTAGTCACCCACAAACCCAAACAACAATTGGGCCACATGGTTTACAGAAACCCTACACACACAGATAGATACCTACATTAAAACTCCAACCATCACCCAAGTCAAAAAAGCCCTGGCAGACTGCAAAAATAATCTGTAAACCCCACCTCCTCCAAGGTGAACTGAACCAACTAAACTGGGCTCTACAGGCCAATGGATACTCCACCACAAACATCAGAAGAGCTGCAAGACCAAGACAAAGCCACAAGAGTAAAGACAAATGATCCACCCAGAGGAAAAGTGTTCTTTTCCTCTGGGTGGAAAAGGAAATCACTAACCACAGAGGCTGAAGAAGAAACACAACATACAAATGATCTACAGACCAACTAAGAAAATCCAACAAATGCTACGTTCAGCAAAGGACAAGAAGGATCCTCTCACTGTTGCAGGAGTCTACCGTATATCATGCAGCTGTGGACAAGTCTACATAAGGACCACCAAACTCAGTATTGCCCAAACATGAATCAAGGAACATGAAAGGAACTGCAGACTAATTCAGCCTGAGAAGTCAGCCATAGCAAACACCTAATGAACCAACCTGGAAACAGCATATTATTTGAGAACACAGAAATGCTGGACCACTCTAACAAATACCATGTCAGACTACACAGAGAAGCCTTTGAAACCCACAAGCATGTGGACAATCTCAACAGAAAGGAGAAAACTATGAAAATGAATAAAATCTGCCTACCAGTATTTAAAAAAACCTTCTAAAATAGTAAATAAAGTAAATAGTAAATAAAGAGCAACACTCAAACAGTAGGGGCATTCCAGACAAGAACAATCAGGACCATCTAACACCACCTAGCAACCAACCAGGCTTTGAAGCTGCAATGCCATTAAATGCTAATAAAGGTGGCCAATTGCAACATTCACACTTGCCTCAAGCAGACAAGAATTCTTTCTCCCACCCTGGGCATTCCACAGATATATAAACCCCACTTGCTTAGTTTTCAACAGACCTCACAACCTCTGAGGATGCCTACCATAGATGTGGGCAAAACATCACAAGAGAATGCTTCTGGAACATGGCCATACAGCCCGGAAAACTCACAGCAACCCAGTGATTCCAGCCATGAAAGCCTTCAACAACAAATTCAATGCCACTATTTACACAAAGCCATGTTACTTCTACATCTCTCTTTCAAAGTTCTATCTATCTTTTAAAAATGCAAATACCTAGTTACTGGGTTGTAACCCAGGCACAGCATTTACAGACTGCATAGCGAGGGATGCATGTATAGTGTTATCAATGTCTTATGTACCCAACTCTGCCACATGATGTAGGAAATCTTGATGCTGAGTGACTGTGTGAAGGCAACAATGGGAACACACTGTGAACTCTACATACAGTATCTAGCTGACAGTGCTAGACCTAGCATAAGTCTATTTGAAGGGCGGCTTTGTCAGGAGTTTTTTTTCTGGAATACTGGATATTGTTAGACAGGCTTTTGATAAATTGCTTAAGAACAAAGTAAGAAGCAAGATGAAAGGATAGTTGATTACCTTGCTGATGTGGAACTCCAGCTTTCTCATATATCTTTCAATTGCTTTCATTTGCTGCAAAATATATTTAAAATAATTAGAACGAGAAGAATGACAGATAGCCTCTATTAGGTGAACTGATCTGTACTTTTGCAGAACTCTTGATAATTTCATAGTAGACTGGTTTGATTCAAAATAAACAGAATATTTTATTTAAAAGGGGATATGCCTAATTTTATAATGAGTCTCTGTAATTAGAAACAGTGAACTTCAAATTTCATTCTATTACTATAATTGATAAAAAGGCTTTGATGACTTTATAGGGAGAAAAAACCTTTTCAGCTATTTTAGAATTCTCCTCAAAATAGAATACAACTGTATTCCAAAACAATACATTAAACAGCCAAGTATCTATTCAATATTGAGTTTAAATTACCACTTTCTTAAAACAGTGAGGGCAAAGTATTGCTTTGGACCTACAGTATGGCTCCAAGCCTCTCTAAATTCATTTGACTGCCCCCCCCCCCCAGCGCAAAAAGGAAAATGGAAAGGTGTCAAATCACTTCTGCATTATCTATCTAATGTCAAAAATATGGGTTTTTTCCAACTACACAATTGCACTTCTGATAATGTCAACTTTTGTTTCTACCAATTATTTGTATATTTGGCAATCCTAGATGGCATCAAAGGTAGAAAACTGTGTCAAAGTTGGTTACTATGGTTGTGCTTTTGGTGTAAACCTTGCCACGTTTCATGTTTCAGCTTCCGTTGGGGGCCCCATTCCATTTTTTGGGATCTCCCTGAAATCAGGAAGGTTGTTTTTGGTTTGGGACCCTGAAAATTGGACCATTTGGGGTGGGGGGGATCCCCTTTCCACTGGCTCCCCTTTCTGATGTGTGCTTCCCTTCTTCTAACCTGGCACCTGCTCGGCTGTAGGCACTGGCAGGCATGCACGTTTCCAAGTCTGCCTGCATGCCATGCCACACATGCACTCTCCTTGGAAAGAGAGTGCATGAGTGGCAGGGCATGCAGGCAGGCCCAGAAAGTATGTGTGCCTGTCAGTGCCTGCAGCCAAGCATCTCTTACTCTAGAGTAAGAGGCGCTCAGCTGCAGGTGGCCTGCCTACATGCCCTGCCACACACACACTCTCTTTCCAAGGCAATGAGGCAAATTCGGATGCAGACAAAAGTAGGTTTTTGTGTCAAGCACATTTTTGTATGGGGAGGGGGCTTCCCATTCCATGCTTCCGAAGAAATGGAAGACACAAAACAAAATGGTCAAAATGGTAGGAACAAATTTTGCACACAACCCTATTGGTTATTCCTTCCCATGCCAATTGTCCTCAAGTCACTTTCTTTGAAATAATTCTTCTGGATTGAAAGTGTTTGCTGCAGATCGATGGACAGATAAGGATTAATGGAGGACAAGCACTCTGGGAGACGTTGCTTAAATATTTGTTCAGTCATGCAAACACACTGGCAAGATATTTTCTTTTAGCCCAGTGGTTCTCAATCTGTGGTTTTCAGGTGGGAGTTGTAGACCAAAACCTCGGGTGTTTTGGCCTACAACTCCCAGAAATCCCAGCCAGTTTACCAGCTGTTAGGATTTCTGGGAGTTGAAGGCCAAAACATCTGGGGATTCACAGGCTGAGAACCACTATCGTAGCCTAAAAAGAAACCATCTCTGAAAAAACCTTTTTCAAGAAAATCCCATAATAGGGTTTCTATATATTGGAGTTGATGTTCAGGCACATAACAACTCTGAAACATTATCTCCATCAGTAATTGTGGAACATTCTAAAGGCCAAAGGCACATGGTTTTTGTGTTGGAAATCATGCAGCTAATGTTATATTTTGCTGTAAAAGAGGATTTAATTGACCAGTTTGTTCCAGTTTAGATAGTTATTAGAAAAACATACCTTATCAAGTTCGTATAGCACTCCCTGTAAGGAATAAAATGAAAATATTAATAATACATAAGATGTCCTTTTACAGAAAGAAACACTACGTATGCCACTAAATGCAACATCCAATATAGAAATACAGAAAAGAAATACACAATGCTATTCCATAGATAACTAAGGAAACCGTTTGGCTTCATTTTGAAGCCATCTAGAGAATGCTAGCTTTATACACATACTGAACAAATAAATAAAATTAAATGACTTCTCAATTTTGTTCCATCAACCAAGCTAGAAATGTGTGTATTTTCTACCCAATTCACAAACAATGGGAATAAATGTAATATAATTCCACGCTTCATAGTAATCTATCCATCTCAGACAATATATATAACTCATACAGTTACTTCAGAATTTTCTTCTAGTCTTTTCTCCTAAGATGCATAATGCATGTATATAACAGTAATGCATGGTCCCTAATTCATGTATTTTCTGATCCATAGTAGGTAAGTAATTATTCCTTTTAAAAACCACATTTAAAATATTGGAATCAGTTAAGATCCAGAAAATGATTCTTCTTTTTGTATAAGCTCTTCATTTTCCCTCCCATGACTAGAAAACTGACAGTACTGGATCTAGAAGACTATTTCTCCCACAATTAAATTACTTTTGTAGTAGGTGGGTGCTGAAATTGATCCAATGATAAATTGTGAATGAATTCAGTAAATGGAGAGTGCTTTCCTTCATTACCTTTGCCCAGTAAACTTGTGTTTGCTGTAAAAATAGTTGTTTGAGTATTAAAAAGGTCTATGCAAAGCAATTGCCAAAGCCTAAAAAAGCTATTTTTAAAATATATTATCAGTTATCACACCCAGCCAATATAAGCCCATGACCACATTGAATGAGGCAATCTGAGTATGGCAGACCAAAAAGTAGCTTCTTCGGTTTTAAATCATTATTACCAGAGGCAGAAAGACATACATATTTTTATCACCCTTGAGGAGGAAGTAACATTGAGAAAAATTGTCAAATAGTGTGTTGATTTCTGCACTTCAGAATTATTGGTGAAATTTCATTTGTATTAAAACATGTTTTTTATTTTCATTTTTTAAAATGTTGTATTTCTGTGCAAAATCAAATCTGGTGGCCTTTTATTCTTTTTCCTTTTGCAAGACAAAGGCTGATATCCTGTTCAGTATTTACAATGTCGTAAGAGACTGTACACATCATCCTTCAGCACCCCATTTTCCAGCACTGCAGGACTCCATCCCTTTGCTATTGCTGCTGGGATTTGGGGGACTGGATTGGTGGACAGAGACTAGCAGCAATATCATAGGCTACAGTCTGACACCAAATCTCAGGATCATTGGAGGATCTCTGCATTTGATCTATGAGCCACCATTACAGAAAACATAAAGCCTTGCATTTTGGAGCACTGCATTATGGACAGAACCTAAATGCCACCATTTTTTTTGTCGTGTCAGGAGCAACTTGAGAAACTGCAAGTCGCTTCTTGTGTGAGAGAATTGACTGTCTGCAAGGATGTTGCCCAGGGGACGCCCGGATGATTTGACGTTTTTATCATCCTTGTGGGAGGCTTCTCTCATGTCCCCGCACGAGGAGCTGGAATTGATAGAGGGAGCTCATCCGCCTCTCCCCGGATTCAAACCTGCGACCTGTCGGTCTTCAGTCCTGCTGGCACAGGGATTTAACCCACTGCACCACCGGGGGCTCCAATGCCACCATTGAAACAAAGCTATGTTACTCTATGTCCCTCTTTCAAAGTTCTATGTATATTTTTAAAATATAAATTCCTAACTACTGGGTAGAATTCTTTGTAAATTTTGCTATTCCCATTTAAAACCATGGCACCATTGCCAGGTTGCAAACATCACTCAAAGCCACCTGAAAAGCTAGGCAGACACACCAACTGAACCAGTGGTCACGCGTGAATAGGATGCTGAAGAATGACATGTCTAGCCATCTCCCACCAGTGATTTATGGAATGACAAACAGCCATGATAGGAATCGGTGGGAGCCCCTAATCCTGCTCATTGCACAACAGTTCATTTATGCATTGGGCTGGATACATATCCTTCACTATCCCATTTGACAACGTCACAGAACTTACAGATGGCGATGCTGCCTGGTTTTAAAGGGATGTCTAAGGTAGGTTTTGACACTATCTCTCCCATGGAGGATCTGAGCACTTAATAAGCACTTCCCTATAGTTTGAATCTGTGATAATGACATACCAGTCGTGAGTTCCTTTTCATGTCCTTTAACTGAGCTGTTAACGTATCTAGCTCCGTTTGATGAACTTCAAGATATTCACTGTAGAGAAAAGGTACAAAGTAAAACATCACCTTTATTACATTCTAATATTTTAAAAGTTGGATTTTATAAAAAGAAATTTTGTTTGGAAAAATGTTACTTCTGCTGATAATTGTTTAAGAAAATAAAGTATTCTTCTATGTGATTGTATAGAAGTTTGTTTTTCGTGTCAGGAACAAGTTGAGAAACAGCAAGTCACTTCTGGTGTGAGAGAACTGGCTGTCTGCAAGGACATTGCCCAGGAGAATGCCCATATGTTAGATATTTTACCCTCCTGTGGGAGGTTTCTCTCATGTTCCCGCATGGGGAGCTGGAGTTGACAGAGGGAGCGCAATCCACTCTTCCCAGATTCGAACCGCTGACCTGTTTGTCAGCAGTCCTGCTGGCACAAGGGTTTAACTCATTACACCACAGGGGCTCCTCATATAGAAGTAAGGATTATTCAATTAAATAGTTCATAATCCTAGCTAAGTGTGTATAGGACTGTGGGACTTTGATTCCTTTCAGAATTAGATAGCACAACCCATGGTCTGTGAGGATGAGATTTGTAGTTCAACAAGTTGCAGTGCTGCAAATTGCCTTTTCCATCATAAAGGGTAAAGTTACATTATGAAACTCAAATGGTGAACATGAAATTTGCAACAGGAAGAGGGATTGTACAATTTGAAATATGGAAAGGGAGTGGTTATGTAAAAAAACTCTGAAATATTGGACTCAAATCTACATGACCTGGATGACATTTTAAACATGAAAACGCAGAAGAATTATACTTATTAGGAAAGATGGATGAAAAACTGGAAGGAGTTTTACAATATATTATAGCTGTGAGAATTCTTTTTGCTCTAAAATGAAAAAAATAAATTCCTTCACAAAAATAATGGTTGGAGAAGATATATGAACTGGTTAAAAGGGACAAATTGACAGCATTACCAACTAACTATGGGCAATACCTCTATCTCCTTGGTAAACAGAATTCAAAAGGTATGGAACCCAAAGTGTACTGTGTAAATTCTACATTGTATGCCACAGTATGAGATATGCAAGGTAATCTTGGCATAAACTAGAAGAATCTATGCAAAGATTATATACAGTCAACCAAAGCTAGGCATTTTGTGCAACTGTAATTCAGTGCAATGTTGAAAGTGGATAAAGCGATTATCTCACACAAAAAGTAGGCTTGGGTTCAGAATATGATATTAACCAAACATCTAAAGGGTGCTGCGTATGTTAGCCCTCCATTGTCAGAGGAAAGAGAGTTCTGACAGGTTACTCTTTTTGGATGACAACTCCCAGAATGCCTTATCTTAAGAAAGCCAGTGCTGGCTGCAGCATTCAAAAAACCATTGTACAAAAAGGAAATTTCCAAGCTCTGCATGGAGCACAAATTCCTTGCTGATTGGTAGCTGGTAAATCTATACTTGATATCAGAAGCTGGACTTTAATTTTCTATGGAGAAATCAAGCTTTTCGAGTCAAGCAACAAGGACAGTTTTACTGTTGTTCCAGGATGATAAAAATTCTTACTCGAGTCCATTCTTTAGGGCTTTGTAGACTTCTTCCATCCTTTCAGGCTGAGGTTCCTTAGATGTGCTGCTGCTCTTGTGTCCTAAATTGTGCGGTTTCTTCACTTTCGTTTGAGGTTTCTTGAGTGCAGAGGAATTCTCAATAAACGAATTGCACCTACAAAGTGAACATAAAATGGGTGTGGGGAGGGAAGAAGAATGATAAATCATGATTATCTTAAAGGAGTATCACCTAAGGAGCTTTCTCTAACACCTAATCTTTCCCAGCTTAAAGCAATCTGCTTACAAGGCTGCCTGCCAGAGAGCATTCAGTGTTTATGGGTTAAGAGGTCTGAGCCAACATGACACTTGGCTGTCAGCATCTGATAGTCTACTTGGGGACGGATCCAATGCCTTTATGTTCCCAATTCACTCGTTTATTTAGATATGTTGCTTCCCACTTACAAAGATTTGGTGTAGATATCAATCTTTTAAACACATCATATATACACATTACACAACCAATGTATGAAGTCTAAAAGAAAAGCAAATGGAAGCAACTTTTATAAACAGCTGTTGTTATAAATGATTATCTTGCTTACAATGGCATAGTTGTACTTATTGGTTCTTACACTGATTTATAGTATGACAAGATTTAAAGTATTCTGAAACAAAGGCACTATCCTCTGCTGTTTGGATGGACTTAGAATAACATTGTACTTAGGTAGCTTCTACCAGCATAGATCTTCAATGTGATCACAGAATCAAGCCTAAATGAGGGGAAAATATCTTGTGAAATTGTTGAGAAAGGTTAATGGCTACAAGCTTGTCTCTAAAGACTTCATCACATAGGTTTTCAGATGGAGCACGACGAATCCCTTCACACGATGCTCAGCTATTTCTGGTAAGGCTCCATCCCTGAACTCAGCTCTAAGTCCTATGATAGAGCAAGGAGAATACACCAGGCTTCCCATGTTCTCATTGCTGCCTGGTTTCTTGTTGGCAGATGTGTGATTGGGAATGCCCTGCTGCGGGCAAATCAGGGTGCGGAGCGATGGATTCCCCTGCTGCCCTACAAATGTGCTGCAATGGCCAGCGAATCTCCTTGTGTCGCCCATATTAGACAGCTAAATGTGATGAGGTCCGAAGCTTCATTCATGCAAGACTTTTGCCATACAGGTTGCAGTTATATCCCTTCCTCAATGGAAAAGCCACACAAATACAGAAACACTTGCAAAAATGCAGTACAGGTGGGACTAGATCCTGATTTGTTTTGGGTTTGATGAAGAATTCTTATACCAAGGGACAATTCCCCTAAATTCTATATATATCTCCCACTGAAAGTCCCTACAGTGCTATAAAGTATCACTCCAGGTGGAAAATGAAAACAGTAGATATATTCAGCTGCCTACTGCTCATCATAGTACAAAAAAGACATATAAAGCTGATCCCACACTAGAGATTAGTGGTGGACCATGCCAGACAACAACCAAAGAATACCAGGTGCTGGCACTGTCCTGGAGTGAAGAAAAAAATGTTTGTCCTGGTCACACTATGTAACAACATTTGAAAAATAATCTGTTCCTTGTTTGAAAGTGTTATTTCCTGTTTAATTGTGAGGTACTTACTTTGAAAGATGTTATATTACAGAAATTTCATTTTTGTGGCTGCGACAAACTATGTTGAATTGATTGAGACTCTATGAGATATTCACAGAAAAGCTATAGCAAAACGTACAGCAGGATGTCCAGCAAAAACAAAGGGGCTTTTTTTTCAATTTAATAAGACTTTTCCATGTTTTCATGTTAACCAATTAAGAAAGGAAATTTATAACCCAGGAACAAAAAATATATTACACAGTCCTATTTCTTCCAATACTCACTTGCACTCCCATCTGTTAAAATAAATTTATAACCATATATCCTGGACTAAATAAATCTGGTCCTGCTAGCTGTGAACGACAGACCATGGCATATTCCCTGAACAATTGTGAAGACAATCTGTAAAATATCTATAGTTAGATTGAATCTGAAACAAAACAGGACTGTTTGGCTCAGCTCTAAGAAAAGGGTCAAAACTTGGCTGGGTTTGGGAGGCAAAAGGAAAATTGTTCCATTTAAATTATTCCCCACATCCGACCTCTAAAAACTATGGAGCTGATGAGCTTGCTGGCGTCAAAGAACCAGACAGGTCAAAGAGATAACCTTTAGTAAAGATGGGGTTATTTCCTGCTTTTTGGTTTGTTTAAATTGAGGTTTCGATTGCCAGTTTTATTACAGAAGCCTACTCTGTGTGTGTCTGTGTGTGTGCCTTCAAGTCACCTGCCAACTCAATGCAATCCCATGAATTTCATAGGGTTTTCCTAGCCAAGGACTACTCAGAGGTGGTTTTGCTGGTTCTTTCACTAGAATATAAAAATAAGATAAAAACAACAGATCCCCGAGGCCAAGCTCTCTCTGTGTGTACACACAGCTTATAGCTTTGCTTGGAAAACCATACTTGCCTGGATCGCCTTTCTTGAAGACCGCTGAAGCCAGCAAAGGATTGACTTCTAATAATCCCATTAGGGCCTCCTGGGGAGAATGAGTGTGATCCTACTGACATGATTTCTGGGAATCTTGAAGATATTCCTGCAAGAAAACAGTAAAGTCATTAAAATTAAAAACTTGGCTGTTTGAACGGGCATTCGGATAAACAGTGCAAAGAATATGAACACAGGAACGGAATTATGGACGACGAATTGGATCACGATTCTAGTTACGAGATGTTATTGGGCTGTTATTGATGTGTCATTATTTTGTATACTATGCTTTTAATGGTTTTTAAATTGTATATCGTTTGATTGACTTTTTACCCTTGCTGTAAACCGCGTTGAGTCGTCTGTCGGGCTGAGAAACTGCGGTATACAAGTAAAGTAAATAAATAAATAAATAAATTTACAATGGCAAACGTCTAGCAGATTTAAGACACAGCGTGTCAAATTCTTGATTGGAGCCACAAATGGTTAAATGAATATGGATCATGAGAATATTAAAGATTTGTGCATTCCTGAATCTTGATCTTACATGTTTAGTTCAAAATACATTGGGGTTTGTTGTTTTTTTTCCCATAAGAGTAACAGGAACCTTTCCAGTAGAGGAGCTAATTTTTTTCCCTTTATTCCTATTTATTTTCTAGCAGTGACTGTCCCTGAAATCAATGTCTCCATAGTATTTCAGATTGGATTTTAAAAACAATTTACTGTAACACATTGCTTTTTCCTCACAAAATGAACTGTTCCAAACAATGATGAACCGGCAGATGTACGTTGGAATAGCTGTAAATCATAGTGCACATTCCATCTCCATTTGGTGGTATATTTCAATGCACATTTTCATGTTCAGCTGCAATGTTCTTAAATTTCTTTCCCTATCTTGCACAAATGTATGTGTATTGAATTTACTAATTATCTTCCACCACATCAAAGGATGTTGAATAGAGTCAAACAAAAGACAAACTGAGCATAAACAGAGAAAAGGGGAAAGAAGAGGACCCTGCCTCACTAGTTGTCCTCAACATATTACAAAGCATAGATCTATAAGTTTGGCCACCAAAATGGAAATCAGAAGACAGGTTGAAATGGGTGAAAGCAAAACAACAACAAAAAACAAACAAAAATACACCCTGGATGTATTTTGGAAGGAGTTCTCAAATAGTTTGTAGAACAGTGATTCCCAACCTGTGGCCTATGGAACACCAGTGATCCAAAAGAACAGAAATGTGGTCTGTGGCCTCACCATTACTACACTGTTGCCTCAAAACCATGCATCAATGAGAGTGACTGGTCTCAAAACCCTAGATGCCAGGAGAGGAGAGGCTAACTACTCACAAAAGATTACTACTACTACATCACCTCAAGATTATTAAATATATTTTTTTGTGGGTGAGCAGATGATGACTACTGGGTGGCATATGTTCTGTATTAGAAACTAGAGCTGATGTGGTCTATCCAATGCAATTTTCTGAATCAGCACTCCAAATAACCAAACCGAATCTAAAGTTGATCATAAACTGATTCGTAACCCTTTTGGTACTAATGTTGGAGAGTGGTCCCTGGTCAAAAAAAGGTCGGGAACCACTATTGTAGAAGGTTCATTTTTTCCCATTGGGCTCTCTTTCTCCTCACATTCTGTCTCAGCCTCAGTCATTTTGTTTCAAGGATCAAGAGAAATTGTTTTTGGTACCCATTTGAGACTTGCCTCTTCCTTTATTTTTTTTTAAAAAATCTTTAAAAAAATTTCTGTTACTTATTTACGTCAACACAACAGCCAAAGTTTGAAGTTTCTTCAGTTCCAATCCATGTAAATACTTAAAACCATAATCATTCTCATGTTTCCAGGCATGTAACAAGCCCAAATCATTTAGTGCATATCAGAATGAAAGCATGTCTCCCATTATCCAACTGTGTAGAAATGATATATTATCATAATCTGTATTGGCTTTATGCTGCAATGACATATTTTACTACTGCAATCAATATTCACACATTTTGATTCATATCTATATTATCCCTATTAATGCCAAATAACTTTAGACTGTCAGCATCTAGGAAGAGACCACACATTCACAACTATTGAACCCTTATGTAAGAGACTTTATGAATCTTTAGGCTGAAACTGAAACTGAAAAGTGTAAAGGAAAGAGATTAATTACACCAGAAGGTTTATGGGGTCCAATGGTAAAAGTATCCTATACTACATCAGGCAGCAGAAGGATTATAAGTACTGATATTAGTCAAGATGAGTTCATTAGCATATGATTAGCTGCTTCATGCTTAAAAGCCCCCTTTTCTCAAAATAAAAGAACACATTGCCAATATAATAAGTTCCATCATATCTTTGTTAAGGCTAATAAGGGATGATGAGCTTTAGTGGAATGGATAAGTATGCCAATCCAAAGCAATATGTTTGCAAGATACACAGTTTTATCATTTCATTTAAAGCATATCCACTAATTATGCTCTGAAAAAGAAAGGAACTAAATTGCTGGTTGAACTAACCTATTAAATAAGTCTTTATTCTCTTCTACATGGTCCTTTCCACCCAAATGAATTATACAACTTCATTGCTTGAAGAGGAACACTTGATAAGCCTTCAGAGCATTCTAATGATTCACCTGAAGAATTGGTCTTTCCACATGGGAAACCTCATTATACTCATTGTGGTGTTTTTGTTATGCAATATTGCAGATGAAGAGTAACTTAATACAAGTAACTATATAACTTCTAATGCATTACTCCCAACCTGTAGTTTTCTAATGAAATGAAAGGAGATTACAGTGGTTCTTCAACAAAAACAAACACTGATGCAAACTGACTGATATTGGATCACCAACAATTTTGAACACAAATATTTCCCAGATTCATCTAAGGATAGTCCAAATTCATCCTTAAATGAAAAGTATGTGCTCTACAATACTGTACTATGGCCTTGGAGAAAGAAACCTACCTAACCCTGTACCTGGAAGAGACTTTTTCCACGCAGCACTAATTTCTTCAGACCTTTTGGTTTTGTGCTGTCATAACCTACTGCTTATGTTGTCTATCACAAACACTCTGCAAATCTTAGTTGTCTGTTTGTATACACCACTTACTGCAAAGAGAAATTAGAGGAAACCGCAGAGAACTGGAAGGAAAGGAATCACAGACCCAAGACACTCATCTGAATGGGATACTTGATGGGGACAGCACAGAGTGAACAGAAGGAAAGGCTGAAGGAATACCAGGAAATAGGGGCACAGAGATCCATACGAAAAAAATGTAGAAAGGTAAACACAAGAGAAAGAGTAGAGGGAAAGAGAAAGAACACAATGGTGTGYACCATGGGTGCTTTCACACAGAGCTTAAASCTGCTGCAGAATGGGTTAAAGAAATAGACTTCAAAATGGATTTAAGTCKCCACACCTCCCCTCAAATCCAGGGCTGTAGCCAGAGGGGGGGGGGGGTTAAAAGTTTAACCCTGCCCTGAAATGTGTCAGGTTAAAAAAGAAACCTGGTTTACTCATAACTTTGTTAAACAATTAAAATTGTTGAGTAAACCAGGTTGGGGGGGGGGAGTAGAACCTTTTCGGGGGGGGGGGGTAGAACTCTTAAATCCCCCCTCTGGCTATGGCCCTGCTAAATCCCGGGCTTTCCCAGGTGTTTGTCCCCATGCCACCCCAAAAACTTTTGGGATAGCATCAGGCTACCCCCACTAGGAGGCTGGGGGGGGGGGMCAGGGGCAATCCTCCCATCTCCTGACACATCATTTTTACATGCCAGGATGGCTCCTGGTAAGGTTAGGAAAGAGYGGTACTCTCTTTGSTTCTCCGGGCTCATGGAATTGGGCTGTGGGAACTAACTACTGGGACTGCAGAAGCAGTCCCTGGATTCTGTCCCCACAGGGCCCATACCCCATTAAAACTGGGCCTTTCAGGAAGCTCCGGGTCTAATGGGGTATCTAATTAATTCAGGATAAAGCAGGGTTTTCCTACTTTGTCCCGAATTAATTCTCTTTTACCTGAGGTGTTGTTTGGACACCTCAGAAAAAAGTCCGATTGGGCCCGCATTTTGGGCTCTGTCTGGAAGGGCTCCATGGCACTTCTAAACCATGCAAATCTGATGTTTTTACTAGTGATGTCATAAAAAAAGTATTTACATGAGAAACCAGATAGACTGTCTTCACTAGATAACTTAAAATATCATTACCTATGGACTTCTATTAATTCTGGAAAACGTAAAAAATGTCACAAGCTAACAGAATAATAAGTTAGGAAAATATTTCTGTAATAAAAGACCCAAGGAAAAGAGCAAAGAAAGGACCACAAAACACCTGGACATAGCTGCATACAATTAGGTCATCCCAAAACCCAAAATGTTGAATCTAGAGTGTAACCAGTATTTTTAAATCATTTCCTTTCAAATATATCATCTCTTGGTATAACTGAAACATGACACTGGTTAAGCGAAAAACCGTGCTACTTTAAGTCAACTTCAGTGGTTTTAAAGATCATTTACACAAATATAAATTTAAGAAAAAATAATCAAGTATAAAACAAGATTGTACTTCTTAGGAATAAGTGTGGAAAACATTAATGAATTTAACAGTGAATTATTTTTTATAGATAAATCTAATTTATATGTACTTTTAATTTAAAAAACCTAAAACAAAAAACTAATCCTTGAATATGTGATATGTAACTATAAAAGGATACCTCTAATTTGAACAAATTATATTAGATAGAAATCTGCAGGTTTTTCAATAACACAGAATACTTTGATGGGAAATTTGTGAGAGAAAGATTAATACAGTACACATATGGTATTTTTGTCAGTTCTTCTGATGATGACCTATTTTCTTTTTTCAGTCCAAACTGTTCAGCAATACACTGAATACTGCGGCAATGGCTGTGGAATACAGGATTGCTTGTTGGCACACTCTGCTTTATATTTAGGCAGATACTAAGTTTTTAATTTAGGAACATAATGTTGTACAAGAGGCAATAATTATGTTTATTCAAAATGCTACCACACATCTCAGCCCTACTAGCCTTGAAGTTAACTCCAAAGATTAAAACAGAAGTTGGCATATGCTTGCTTTTCACAGTAGCTTGT